CTCTTTTTGTGATCTTATTTAAAACTGTATGCTTACCCCAACCCTGCAGTCCATCCCTCTTCTCCTTGACAGCATCACCTTCTAACATACTACATAATTTACTTGGTTCACTTTTTCCATATGGCAGTGTTATAGCTTTTATCTAGATGATCCCCCAAGCCTCATACAGTCATAGGTGGGGCTTTTTGGAGGTGGCTAGATCAAGAGCATGTGATGCTGGGATCAAGCATGTGATGCTGGGTTGATTCATGGTTCAGCGCTAGGATTAAGGGTGCCCCATCCTAGGTGTGAGTCCTACTCACACTAGGGATAAGTAGCGTAGATAGAATATAAGGGACAGAAATAGGGTTGCTGTTGATGCTTGTCACTAGTTGCTTCTTTCACTGCTTATGGCCTTGCTGCCTGCCATGGACTGTTTCTCCTCTGTGATGCCCCTCTGCTATGCCACTCTGCCTCAGAGTCAGCCGTCTCTGGACTGAAATCTCTACAAACTCTAAGCCAAAACAAAACTTTCCTCCTTTAACTTTGAATGTCAGGTATTTTATCTCATCAATGAGTAAAGTAACTAAGACAGGCAGAGATTTTTATGTTTTATTCATTGCTGTTTCCCAGGTGTCTGGAACAGAGCCTGTTATCTAGTGGTGCTCATCATTTGTGGAATGACATTTAATCCAAATATTCACTAGTTGAACAGGCTGGGCCTTGCCTTCAGTGAAGATCTTTCCAGCACAGTATCTCTGAGAGTTTGATTCAGAAAAGGCATTTCATACAGCTCTTCTAACCTGAGAGATAATGTATTGTTGGTTTTGGTTTATGAGCCAGTATCTCAGCCACAGTAGCATCAAATTACCTTCATAATGTAGTCAGAAAGGACTGTAATGTAACTCTCTTAGTATGCCTGTAAACTGAACCAAAGACTGATTTTGTACCTTATAAAATAAGAGTATTAGGTTACTTAAATTTTTAGTTCCCAATTTCTGGGTTTTCAGGAAGTTTTATCTGATACTGCTAATTTACTTTCTGGATTGCCAATATTTTGACAAAAGCTTTTTTCCCCCCTTTTAGTGATAGGGCCATGGATTATCTTTTCTTCTTACTTTTCCACATTTTCTTTAACAAGTGTGTATTACTTTAAAATGAGAAATAGCTGGGGATATAATTCAGTGGTAGAGTGCTTGTGTACTGTGTGTGAGAGAAGCTCTGGGTTCAATCCCTAATACCATAATAAAAAATTAATTTAAAAAATGAGAAATAATCAACAGCTTAAAAAATTCTGCTGATCTACTAAGTCTGCATAACTCTTTTATAAGGCAGATAAACATGCTTAATATCCCATGTTCAAATTGCTATCTCATTTAAATTTGTGGGAGAACAATTATTTGAGGAACTGGCCATCCCAGTGAAAAATGAGAGTGGGGATTTGGGATTAGGCAGGCTCATCAAGACAAAATTAATTTCTGATGCAGAGATTCAAAGATGTGTTTGAGAAACTGTGACTGAAGAAGAGGATTTGATTTTGTAATCTAGGCCAACAGTGGACAGTAGGCCATGGACCACTAGACAATGGACTTTTAGGGTTTCTAGGAAGCCTCTGTGGGGCAAGGAATGTTTTTATTTGATATCCAAGGAAATTCCATGGATTAAAGTCACTTCACTCAAAAAGAAATAGTACAATTTTGGTTACTGATAAGGTGTTTAGGATTACAAGTTAAAGTAAGACTGTGTTAAAGTCTACACAGAGCATAAAAGTGCTTCATATACTGTGAAGGGCTCTACAGATATTTGATGCTGTTGTTTCTGATTAGCTTGGCTCTGAATTATCTAAAGGAAAAATGAGTTTAAACATTACAACTAGTTGTGTGACTTCAACCCACTCACTCTTGTTTTCCAGGTCAATAAAGACCTTTTACCCTCTTGCTTCATAGAATGATTTAGAAGTTTAAATGGATGTGGAAATGTTTGGGAAAGCACAATATATGCTAAAATTGGAGGTGTTATTCTTTAGCTTCTGATTTGGTTGACTTCCTAGAATCTTAAAAAACAGTGAATACTTCCTATGAAAATCCTATGACGTAAGGAAAACCCTAACCTTAGATTGTCTCCCAAAGTGAATATGTAAAGGTAATTTTTTTCTTTTCATATTATTTCCATAAACTTCCATAAGGAATAACATTTTCATTTTCTTGTTTGTTTTAAAGAAGACAGCTGGGATGCAGCATGCTGTTCTCAATTCAACAAACCAGGAGCTTGTGCTCTGGTTGAAACCTTACACATTCTTCCCGGAAGCGTGAAACTGTATCTGGGAAGTCCCTATTGCTGGTAGAGACTTAGGGCTTTATCCATCTCTATATGTAGATGTGTAAAGAGCCCTCGGGCTCAAATTAAAACAACCAGAGGGCTGGGAAAGGGAGTCATGAGGGAGCAAAAGTGACAGGAGGTTGAGGTGACGGCATGGTTGGTTGGGAGATTTCCAGCCTCGGGAGGAAGGAGCATAGAGACCTCAATCCTTTTGAACCATTCCTGTCCCAAAGAAGTTCTCAGCCTTCTCAGGCCAACGGGACCTCAGGCTGATTGGGATCAAGATCGAGAAAGGAGAAACCTGTCATGGGGCTCGCCAGAGTCCTCATTTATCAGTCCTGCCTACAGGCCCTGTGTTTATTTTTCCTAACTATGGTCTCTCCGGAACTAACATGGCACTGGCCACCAACAGATGCTTAGTAAATTTTTCCTGACTCAGTAATTGCAGGATGGAAGGTTTGGACAAGAGGAACATTCATAGTTCTAGTGGAGACTTTACCCATAGAAATGCCATTTTCTGACCTTTAGTGTGAGGGTACTACAGACTAAAGCAGCAATAACCCAGAGAATCCCCTCTTGCACAGCTATTTAAATCGAATAGTGAAGACTACCAAAATCGTTTGGCTGATAGATGCCACATTCCATAACACATGCTATAGTACTTGTTACAGTAGAAATATAATTCACAATTTTTAGATTTAAAAAATGTAACCCATCAATTCAAAATTTTGAAATCTTTAATGCTATTGTTTGTGAAACTAGACACATTTATTCAATGAGACTGAAATCCTCAGAGAAACCAACCCCATAGCTTTTTTTTTTGTCTTTTTGAGACAGGGTCTCGCTGTGTAGTTCAGGCTGGCCTTGAGCTCACTTTGTAGCCCAGGCTGATCTAGAACTCGCAACGATCCTCCTGCCTCAGCCTCCTGAGTGCTGGGATTACAGGCATGCGCTACCACGCCTGGCCTCCATAGCTTTTTAAGGGGCAGTTTGTTCTACTCACAAGTAGAGATGGGGAGGTGTACTTTGGGGGGTTGGGTATAGAGACTTTTTAAAAAACTTTTGTGCTTTTTTTACATCTAGAAAGTATCCTGACCTCCTTCTCCCAGTAATGTTTGTCTAAATAAAATCTTTAGGATGGGCTTTAGCAAGGTGGTCCTTGTCAAGGGTCTTCTCAAAGAAGGTAGTTGTTTGTTTTAAACTATCAACACTACAACAATCTATATACAAAATCTATTTAATAGTTATTTGTGTAAAAAGATTTATAGGGACAGAAAATACTTCCACTTTTTCGGTGCCAAGCAATCAAGCAAAACACGATTAGTAGGCAGAAACTGCGGGCGGGGGAGGGGGAATGCCAGACAATGGCTGTGTCCTGAGTAGTACATGATCGCCATCTGGAGGATTCACTTGAAACAACAAGCAGTAATCAAAGAACCTAATGTTTTCAATAATGAAGATACGATTTGTGAACAAGTAGACAACAAAGCCAGGAATAAATTACCTTTATTTAATGTCCCTGGACTCCTACTATTTTAAGCTTTTAGTATGTGACTCTTGCAATACTGTCATTGAGATACTTTCAGCCAAAAAAGGGAAATTAAACTCTAATATCTTAAGATCAATAAATAAACTCATCAGCAAATACAGTTCAGGAAGAACTAGGCAAGAAGGAAATAAACAGACACACGTGTCTCCAGTTTACCATCCTGTTATTTCCCCTCCCTCTCCTAAATAACACCTCATACAAATCGTCAGAATTTTTATTCACCCAAAGATATACATGACTGACACTTTAATTAGAGGCATTCACATCTCATAGATGGAAAATCTTAATTAAAAGAGGGAGACTGGAGAGATATTCAGAATTTCTGGTAGATGTCAACTGTGGGAGAGGCCATGGTAGAGCAAGATAACCATCTCCTCTACA